AACAAGACCAAGGTGAGCTCTTCCCTCAAGGAATTTATAGTCTCATGGTGGAAGTAGGACCTGAGCAAGTGAAAAATGATTTAGTAACACTAAAGACATAAAAACAGGTGACTAACAAAATACAAAAAAAGGCCATGTGAGTGTGGAAAAAGATACAGACACTGCGGGAGAGGGCAGGGATAGGTTTGACAGAGAACACAGCCTATGGGGTTATTTTGAACAACGTTCATGGAGGCGATAAACGAGGACTGGTGATCTAAAGGTGGGGAAGGCATCCAGGTGTAGGGGAAGGGGAAGTGGCACGCACACATTGGCAGGTAGAGGCAAATCACGTGTTCAATGAGAGTGGTGGGCAGGGTGACATGAGTGAAAGAGCACGACTTCATGGGCATTCCAGCAGTGGCAGGGATGGAAGGTGTGTGCTGTGATGTGTGAAGCATGAATGAATGCTGTGTGGGTGGGCTGTCTTCAGAAATGTCCCCCTCAGTGGTGTTAAGTTGGCTTCTTTAGAATCTAGAAGTCTAGAGGCCAAATCCAAGGCTGCTGTAAGGAAAATGCCTAGAGACACCATCCTGAACCTGACGGGCTTTGGGCGTGGAGGGTGGAAGACTGGGGATCAGAGCTGTGACAGAGGTGTTAACTTGGAGGCAGAGGGTGGAAGTCCAGTGTGTTACAGGCCTGAGGTAACAGCAGCTCCAAGTCGAGGATGGCAAGGTGTGGCCTTTGGGACAAATGCCAGTGAAACTGGGCAAGCCCTTGTCATAGGGCCAGTCTTCAGTCTCTTTCAACTTCAGACTTTCCTCCTGCCACTCCCCCACTTGGTACATGCTTGGGCTATTTGAACATCTCCCTTGTTCTCTCCCCTGACTTTGTGAGTTCCAATTATTCACAGAGCGCCACTGTCCATTGACCTCAGTTCTGTACCCATGTACCTGGAATAGAGCCCTGCACACAGTAGGTACCTAGGAGTTTCTGAATAAATGTGGAGGGCATGAGTGAATCCTGACACGCATGTGAGGAAAATGGTCACAGAGAGGAAGGAGCTGTGTCTAGGTGGGAGGATTGGGGCAGAAGGCCGGAATTTCTAAACTAGAAGCAGAGTAGCTCTCACTACCCACCACCTTCTCCCGGGGTCCTTGCTGTGGTCTTCACAGCCCTTCCCTGATTGAATGCCTCCACTGAGAAATGTCTGGGGTTGGCCTGGCAGAGTCAAGCCTCATCAGCTGCTCCCTGCTTTTGTCTGGTAGAATGCGGAGGTGAGGAGAGCTCGGTGAGCTAAGAGGAACTCTGTTTAGGTTCATAAGATTATAGACCAACTAATCTGACTGCTTATTTTGATAATATAGAAATTGAGACCCAGAGAGGTTAGGTGGCTTGCCCAATGTCACACAACCAGAGTTTGGACATCAAGATCTCCTCACACTGCAGTCAATTCTTCTTCTCCCTCATTCACTAACCAAATGTATGTTACCCTGGAGTCACAGTACAGAGAGGAATCCTGGAGAGAGTTTCATCCTCTTGGTCTGAACAATGCCACTCATCCCCCTCCCACCCCTCTACACAGTCATAGAAGGTTAAACTAGAATAATCTCAAGCTCCAGTCTCATTCTAAGCCTCCCATTTACACATGAGGAAGCTAAGGCCTCAAGAGGGAAGTGACCTGAACATGAGTAGGTCAAGGTAACTGTCCTCCACACATGCCCCTCTACTTCGATCCTGTATGCTTACCTTTTCCCTCTAATCCCTAGAAGCTGTTTCTGCCTATTCACCCAGGCTGGTTATGCCATACATACCCCAATATATCCCTGCCCCCCAATACCTTGCCATGAAAAGAAAACTAGACCAAGGCAAGTCCTGGGGCCTGTGTTCACTGGCAGGGCCCCATGTCCTGGCCTTCTGAGAGTTCTTCCAGCCTGGGGTTCATGAGTTCCCAAGCACTGTCCAGGTACTTTAGAGAAACTTCAGAGTTCTGGCATTGTTCAAGGGCCTGCCACTTCTTCTGCAACCACCCGGGATTCTTCCAGGCCAGGCCAGACCCTCACTGCCCCATGTCTCGATGCCTTTGGTAGGCTCCTATCCTCTCTCTCTGGTTAGTTCTGCCCACTACTCCACGTTAGTCATCTTTAAAAAGTGACTTTGTTGGTTGCATCTCTGGTCAGCAGTCTCTCATGACTCCCCATGGTCTACTCATCAAAGCCCTACTTCGGCCTGGCTTTCAAGAACCTCCACAACTTTCATCTTTTTTTCCCTTTCCTCTCATTGAAGCCTCCTCACCAAGGGTGTTCCTTCTCACTTTTTTATCTTTGCATCTACAGTTCTCCCAACCTAGAACTCCCTCCCTCCTTCACTCAAGGATTCAAATCTCCTTCTTCTCCAGGGCCCAGCTCATGCCCCACTTCTTCCACGTAGTCTCAGGGATGTATAGATCTATAGATCATCTAGCTCCAACCCACCATCTTCTAGATGAAGAAACGGAGGCTCAGAGAGGCCAACTGATTTGCTCAAAAGTCAAATCACTAGATAGAGCCAGGAAGTCAAGGTTTCCTCACCTGGCAGTAAGATATCCTTGTACCCTCCCTTGCTGAAGGGGATGTGTTATCCTGGAGAGAGTCCTATGATAGGAAGGAGTTCATTCTTAAGTCCACATGATGGCCAGTTGTACTTACAGTCAGAATCACACAATTAAGCCCTTAATTATAAGCCACTCTATATTGTTATTTAATTGTTTCCAAAATAGAGTGTAAGCTCCTTGGGGGCAGGGAAAATTTCCTGTGCCATCTAGTTGTGTCCTCTTCAAAGGCCCTAGCACAGTGCTTTAAAAAAAAAAAAACACCAAACCCATTGCCGTTGGGTTGATTCTGACTCATAGCAATGCTGTAGGATAGAGTAGAACTGCCCCATAGGGTTTCCAAGGAGTGGCTGGTGGATTTGAACTGCTGACCTTTTGGTTAGCAGCCATAACTCTTAACTACTGCAACACCAGGGCTCCTAGCACAGTGCTAGGCACATAAAAAGTGTGACATGGTGGGACCAGTATCCTGGCCAGACCTTCCTCTGGGAGAATAACTTTCCCACTTCTATGTGGTAGTACACAAAACAGCCCAGAAGCCAAAGGGACTCTGCCCAGATGCAATTCCAATTTCTAAGTTTTCACATGGATGAAAGGTGGGGCCAGGAGTGCCACGACAAATCGTGGTTGTGGCAAAAGTCCAAAGGGACTAATAATGGTTTTAAGGCCTGATACATTCCCAGCTTCCTTGCCTGGCCTCCAGCATCATAGGACTGCAGGCCAGGCCTTTACTGGCCACACAGGCCACTGCTTTCTTCAGGCTTGAAGCCACTGTACAGGACAGTGATCAAACCTCAGGGTCCTCACCCACGACAGAGTGGGGAAGTGTCTTTGGCGTACACAGCCTCACTTGTCTTTGCCCCTGTCACTGCCTCTCTTGATGTCATCTTATGCTTTCTCTTTTCTCCTCCATCCTGCCCTCAGAAATGACTTGATCCTGCGAGTGGCTCTTTAAGGTCACCCTGTCTGAGCATGATCCCTCCCATGGCATTGGCATTGTGACTTGAAGTCTAATGGGGGCACTGAGAGGCTCTGTCTTATTTTATGAGAATCCCACATGTGGCAGAACCTTGTAGGCTGAAGTGCTAGCTCCCAGCCCCCAGAAATCACAGTGCTTGGGCTGGTCAAAGTGCTTCATGATGTCTAGTGAGAACGGTAGGTACCCAGGGAGCTGGAAAAATTTACCTTGGCCTTGGCAGTCATAGTTTTCTTCCTTCTCCCTTTGTAGCCAAACTTAAAAGTGTATGTTTGGCAAAGCTCTTTCAGATTTACAGACTGGAGAGATACTGAGTGCTGAGAGCACCCACCTAGGGTTCACCAGTGGAAAGGTTGCTCCAGCTCTGCTTCCAAGTGGCCCCGGACCCCTCTGTGCTTGGTGGCCCCTGCTCAGCACACAGTCAGAAGGGCTCCATCACTCAACGGGTGCCTTTTTGGACTGTACACTCATCTGGGGCCTCGGGCATCAAGGGTTATAACAATACCATTGCTGGCTTCCCAGTGGGTGGAGGTTGGTCAGGGTCACTGGGTGAGAGGAAATGGCTAATGACACCCACCCACCCACTCAGCCTTCTGCCAACCTCGGGGACGTGCTCTTTGCACTCTCAATTTGGCATTTGCTCTTCCTACATTATCTTCCCTTCCCCAACATTGGGGAGGTGAGAGAGTGTACAGGGATGACATGATTTCCAATTTTCCTGAAGAAAAATCTAAGCCTCAGAGAGGGGTGTGGCTCACACAGGGTCAGGTGAGTCACCTGTGGCATTGCAGTTAGTGGCCGGATGTCCACAGCTCCTCTTGGAGGGTGGGAGGACTGAGGCCAAGCAGGCTGGGTTAGCCATTAGGAAGCTCTAGGGGAGTGAGTCCTCTCCAGAGTCTGAGGAGAGCTGCTCAGAGGTGCTAGTGGAGGGGGTGTGGCTGGGGAAGTTTGCCCAGCTACTGAGGAGGGAGTGATACTAGGAGATGGTACTGGCAGACAGAGCAATTAGCCATCAATGAAGACAGACCAGCAGGGTGGCATTCCAGGGCCCTGTTGCCCAGATCATTCTCAATTATAGGGTACAATTAGCTGCAGAGGTGGTGTGGGGCAGCTGCCTGCACATGCCATCCATGGTTGTGGGGGAGATGCTGCTCTCCCTGGCTCCAGCTGCTCCCTTTGGGACCTTGCCGTATATATATACCAACCCACCCAGCTAAAGTCACCATCTTGGTCTATGGGACTTACTTCTGTAGTGGGACCACATCTGATGCCAACATCTTCTTTAGGGTAGCCATTCCAGTTCAGTTTCAAGAAACACCACCCTTTGATCCTAGCCTCTAAGGCTCATGGGGGGGGGGAGGTGTTAAGGTTCCAACTGTCCATAAATGCATTAAGCATCCAGTTCCACCCTCAGAATTCACCTCAGCTTCAGCACGAGGGATGGGAAGGTCTTACCTCGGGTTTTGTTTTCTTTGGAAAGGAGAGAGATGGTCTTTCCTTCTTGAAGATAGACGAAGAACTGGTAGCGATGGAAGCCAGTGTGTGTTGGTGGGGAGGGAGGCTGGTAGGCTGTGGGTAGAAAAAGGAGAGTGGTGGCCTTTACAGCTTGTACTACCCAGGACATTGATCTTTACTTGCAGGACTTCCTTTCTGCTCTGGGCAGGGGGAAAATGCTGATTCTATATCTTTTCATGGTCCCTGCTAACCCTCCTGGAGCCCTCCTGGGCTCACCCATTGCAAACAATTAGGATTTATATTTGGCAGGATCACATCTTTAGTATCTTTATTTAAGAGTACTTATGTTACTTTTTTGGGGTGGGGCATGCAAATGGTCCAAGAGGAAGTGCTCTGGGCTAGCTTGAAGGGGCTCCTAAGCCTTCCTGGGCGAGTGGGTGTTGGTACTATCCTCTTTTTGTTTTAGTCCATCCTGATGGATTTCTTGCCTCAAGAGAAACCCATCTTCCCTGTGTGTCTACGTAAGTGCGTTGGCAGGGCATTTTTATTTATTTTTTCAGCATTTCCTTATGAACTCAATCCCCAAAGAAGCCAATTTCTTGGCTGGATCCAGAGGATCTGGAAGTGGTTACGGGGGTGGGTGGACTTGGTTCAAAGGTTTGATCATGGAAACTGTAGGATCTGGGCGCTCGAGGCAACAGAGAGCCCACTCAGGCTCTTCCGGAGAAGTCTAATCTCCCTCTCCTTTACTCCCCGCCAGGAGGCAGGCCTTTTCTGGGGGGAAAAGTAGGGTGGGGACATCCCTCATCCCTCCTCCTCATTTATGCAGGGCCCCAGGGTTTTGCTGGTTCTGGACTGGTCTGGAAAGATGAGTCTCTTTCCAAGTGTGCTGTGCTACTTCCCACTCATCTTGCCCTCTCTGCATCTTCCTTTCCAAGGAAGAGAGTCAGGCTGGAGCCGAGAAACCTCCTGGGGGTGTGTAGGGACTGAGTGCTTGCAATGAGTGTGGTACTTTATGACATCTCCTTCTCCTCTCCTGATTACTCAACAAAAGAGCAACTTGAGGTTTGGAGCTGTTGGAAGAGTTCCTCATTGTGCCCTTCCAGCCACTAAGGTCTCAGCGTGCCATCAGCCAGGGGGAATTACTGACTATTCATCCTTCCCCGAGTTTCTGCAGTGCAGGTCAGATATGAGTACGTGCTCAGAGTGAGAACAGTACAGGGTGTGCTGGGGGCTGTGGGAATTTGTGTGGCTTGTGTTTACACTTGGGCAGGTGCATGGATTGGAAGAGCTCTGAGGCTGTTTTTTGAGGGTGTCTGTCAGTGTGTGTAAATGCAGGTACATCAGTTTTTTCACAAACATTGCCAACGCTGAGAAAGACTTCAGAGCATAGGTGGGTGCCAGAGTGTCTCTTCGTGTGTGTGAGTGTGTGGAGGGCAGATGTGACCAGGCCAGCTTTTGTGAAGGCAGGTGGGTGTGTGGATTGGTGAGTGCACTTGAGGGTAGGCATATCTCACGATGTCTACAGATTGTGTGGATAATTCTGAAGTTAGAACTCACTGGTACTATACAACTGAAAATCTGTCTTCAGGGAAGGTGGAGAATTAACCCCCATCACTAGGGCTTTTGTGAAGAATTCCCCCTCCAAAAGTAGAGATGAAGGGGATGAAGAGGAAGGGAAGAGCATCTCCTCTGGTCCAGTCACTGAGCTAAGTTCTTTCACCTCTGACACCACATTAATTCTCACCACAGCTTGATAAGGTGGGTATTATCTCCATTTATGGATGAGGAAAGCGAGGCTCTGAGAGGTTAAGTCGGGCAGATGGTAAGAGGTGGAGCTGGGATTTGAATCTAGGCCTTTTTAGTGCCAAATCCCATGAGGCTCAGTTTTGTGCTTATTCCTCCACCAGAAGGCCAACTCACCACCTGAGCATTCCCTTCAAGTTCAGTTGAGGGCATACTCTCGGGGGGCGGAGAATTGAGAGAGAGGGGAGAAGGCGACCAGTGGTGAGGATGGAGTGGAAAGAGGAGGACAGCTGAGAAAAGGGAGATCTATGCAACCATACTGTGGGGCTGGAGGCAGGTGAGCAGAGAGAGGCGGGCAGAGGAAAGGAAGTGATGCTCGCCAATCCCAGCCAGGCGAGTGGCTGCATTGCATTGTGGTTATGAGCATGGCTCCAGTTAGAACACCAGCATTTTAATGCTGGCTCCATCCCTCACTAGCTGTGTGACAGGGGCCAAGTTGTTCTGTGCCTCAGTTTCCTTCTCTTCACGTGGCTATATTGATTGTAAGTACCTTCAAAGGTCGTTGTGAGGATCAAATCAGATGACATAAGTAAATTCTTGGATCGATGCTTTGCACATTAATATTACTTAATAATATTACCCAATAAAGGGAATGTATCATTATTAAGTAAAATTATTATGATTCTTGTGATTATCACCTTTGCTCTGGCTGGGGGCATACCTCACCCCAATACCTACGGGAAAAGGGGTGCTGGATGGTCTCACTCACATGACAGCTCCTGTCCCTGGATCTTCCCTTTCTTCATATCAGTGCCCTGAAATAAGAGACAGGCATGGACATGAGTTATTCCTGGGGTAGCAGAAGGCCTAAACCATGACGCTTTAGTGCAGCTGGTTTCTGACGAGCTGTTTCTCTCTTTGAAGAAGTAGGATGGACAAGGAAGAAGATGTATGGCTAATCCTGGGAGACATTGCTAGAACAGGGCTGTGGGATTTTGATACGGGTGTCTCAGGGAGCATCTGTGGAGAGAGGATGGACACAGATATCCTGAAGATGGCCTAGAGGTGGGGGATAGACTCCCTGAGCTCTGGAGAATCCTGAGAGGACACTTCCTGAAGGGCATCCCCATCCCAGTGTTTACACCATCTGCACCCTGATACCAGGCATAGGACACAACCCACAACCTGAGGGGTCTGGTCAGATGGAAGGGAGGAGCTGACAATTCTTTTATTTTTTTTTATTTTTTATTTTATTGTACTTCAGGTGAAGGCTTGCAGAACAAATAGTTTCTCATGAAACAGTAGTACACATGTAGTTTTATGACATTGGTTAACAACCCCACAACATATTAACCCTCTAACTTCTCAACATTTTTTTTTTTTTTTTGGTGAAAATACACATAACCAAAGATACACCATTTCAAAAATTTCTACATACACAGTTCAGTGACATTGACTACGCTCTTCCAATTGTGCTGTTATTCTCACTTAAGATAAAGGCTTACAGAACTAGTTTCTCATTTAACAGTTACTACAAATGTTGCCCTATGACAATGGTTAACAATCTCACAACACATCAACAATATCCTTACTCAACCTTGGGTTCCCTATCAGCAGCTTCCTTGTCCCCTTCTGCCTTCTGGCCCTTGTCACTGGACTCCTGTACCTCGTTAGTCTCATTTGGTTTTACGGGGCTGTCCACTCCCAGGCTGAACAGTGAACCTCGGAGGTAACTTCACCACTGAGCTAAAAGGGTGTCTGGGGGCCATACTCTCGGGGTTTCTCCAGTCTCCTTTAGGCCAGTAAATCTGGTCTTTTTTTTTGTGAGTTAGAATTATGCTCTACATCCTTCTCCAGCTCTGTCCAGAACACTCTGTTGTGATCCTGGTCAGAGCAGTCAGTGGTGGTAGCCGGGCACCATCTAGCTGTACTGGACTCAGTCCGGTGGAGGCCTTGGTAGCTGTGGACAATTAGTCCTTTGGACTAATATTTTCCTTGTATCCTTTTCTCTTCATTCTCCCTTGCTCCTGAAGGGATGAGACCAGTGGAGTATCTTAGATGGCTGCTCACAGGCTTTTAAGACCCCAAACACTACTCACCAAGGTAGAATGTAGAGCATTGTCTGTATAGGCTGTGTCATGCCAATTGAGCTAGATGTTCCCCGAGACCATGGTCCCCACAGCCCTCCGCCCAGCAATTCAGTCCCTCAGGGAGTTTGGATGTGTCTATGGGGCTTCCATGACCTTTCCTTGTACAGGTTGTGCTGGTTTCCCCTGTATTGTGTACTGAGGAGCTGACAATTCTTAAAGTCGTCTCAGCCAGCCCATCCTCTCAGGAGGGAGGATTCCACATTCTTTGGAGCCTTCAGATGGTTAGGCCAGTGGCTATATGAGCAACCAGAAGGGAAAGGACGGGAGGGAGGAGGCCCCAGGGATTCTTGAGGCAGCTTCTTTCCCAGTCTCAAGTGGACTTAGCCCACAGCCCCTAAGCAGATTCTTTGGCCGCTGGTACAGCCTCAGTTTCCCTCCTTCTCTCCCTTTCCCTCCCTTCTCCCCTCCACTCAGTGTCTGTGGGATAATGAGGTGATCCTGGGGGTGGGTGCTAATTATTGTTTGTGCAGGGCTGGGAGATGCCAGATGAAAGGAACTGGAGCTGGGCCCCTGGGTCTGTGCCACAGCTCAGGACCCCGGGCTAGGCCAGGGAGCTCTGTGGCCCCTCAGTGTGGGATTTTATAGCCTTAATGATGGTGATTAAGGTGGCTTTTAATTGATTCTGCCAACACCTAACTGTGCCCTGGCCACCTTTCCACCAAGCTCTTCCTAGCCCAGCCCCTGGCCCGTCCCCTTGCAGGGTGTGGGACTACCAGTGCTCAAGGAGGAGGAGGGGTGAGAGCGGTGAGAGGCCCTGGTTTGAATGGTCGTGAGAAAATGGGGGTGGAGGTGAGATTTCACCCAGGACCCCCCACTCCCCCTCCTGAAGCGCATGAGATTTCACCTCAACTCTTTGTAGAGAATCTCTGAGTCAGCTGGGTGACCCAGCCCTTGGCTTGTGGTTTACTGTTTACGAAACTAAAGCCCTATTCCCTCATCCCAGAACCCTTCCTGATCTCCCTTTTAGGCTACCAGTAGCTTGTCCCTCTACTGTTCTCACTTCGGGTTTCCTCTCCCCCAGGCTCCTTCCTAGCGGTCTAGATTACCTGTGGAGTCCCTGGGTGGTGCAAATGGTTAATGTGCAAGGCTGCTTGCTAACCAAAAGGTTGGAGGTTCAAGCCTACTCAGAGGCACCTTGAAAGAAAGGCCTAGTGATCTGTTTTTGAAAAATCAGCCACTGAAAACACAATGGAGCACAGTTCTACTCTGACATACATAGGGTTGCCATGAAGCAGAATCGACTTGACGGTGACCAGTTTAGGTTACCTGTGGTTGGGAGAAGGGGCGGGAGACTGTAGGAAGTGAACCCCTTCACACTTTGTTCCTTCAGCCCCCGCTCACCCCCAGGTGAAGTCTCTTTCCTTTATCTTTCCATCCTCTTGAACCCCTGTCTTTCTTCCTCAGGAACACGAGCAGTGCATACTCTAGCTCTGCTCTGCTTCTCTCTCAGCATAGTCCCCTGACTCCTCCCCCTTGCATGATCCAGGGCTGGCATCAGGCCCAGGTGAGGTCAGGGGCTGAGATGCAGGGGCACTAAGGTAGGATAAGGTGTTGGAGAACGGGTCCTGGGTGACTGCCCAGGGAGACTGGACTGAGGGATGCCCTGATGGTGGGGCATGACCTCAACACTTGAGGAACACAGACAGCACACCTGTCAGGTTTGAGAAGAGAAAAGCTTTGGAAGGAGAACCTGCAGGAGCTCACCCCTACCTTGGGCTTCCTCACCTTGACCTTACTGCCTCCACCTGCTTGTCTCTCCCCCCAGCCCATAGGTGTGCTTGCTCCTTTTTCAGAGGGGCTCTAACATAGACAGAACTTCCTTTCCCTTACTCTAAGATAGGCTGACATTTTCAAAAGGAACTTGTCTAAATGCTAAGGTTAAAAAAAGAAAAGAATTTCAGAAATTACAAACAGCATAGAAATAGTCAGGTTTCTGATCCCAAGAACATGGAAAAGCCCAGGCTTTCTGGGTATCAGGATGCCAGGCCAGGAGCACCCGAGGTGTCTGGGTGGTGTGCCTGGGAGGGCGTTCTGCACATAGTAGGTGGCCTTGGGATGGAAACTCTTTTCCTTATCAGCATCCTGTGGAAATACGGAGTTTGATCCTCATCACCTGTCTAGCAAAGGGTGGGAAGGAGAAGGTGGAAATTGCCCTGTAGATCCTGAAATACTCATGCTGTCAGGTTGATTCTAACTCATGGCAACCCCATGTGTATCAGAGTAGGACCGTGCTCCATAGGGTTTTCAATGGCTGATTTTTTGGAAGTAGATTGCCAGGCCTTTCTTCCAAGGAGCCTCAGGGTGGACTCGAACCTCCAACCTTTCGGTTAGCAACCAAGTGCATTAACCGTTTGCACCACCAGGGACTCCATAAGTACTCTCTCCTTTTTCTTACAAGTTGGTCCTCAATGTGCGTTGTGTGTGTGTATTTAAGGTACTGGATAAGTGCATGAATGCATGGAATAGGAATAAATATAAATTATTCTATTGCAGAAAAGGAGTTCAGTTCTATAGGCAGTTTGGAAGAATTTTTGGCTTTCTAGAACATGAGATTTTCTTTCCAGCTTCTCTTCCACCTCAGAGTTCACTACTTCTTTGTCAAACTAGGTTGGAACTGGCATATGAGATACTTAAGAAAAGTTGGGGTTAGATTGTGGGTCATAGTAACCCCATTCCCGGACCCGGGTGATGCAGACTCTCTTACCAGACTTGTTCTGATTGATTTGTCTCCGGTTCAGTAAAGAGCACAGCACTGGAAGCTGTGGATCTGCCACCTCCACTATTATTCAGATACCTACTAATTGAAAGGTTGGTGGTTTAAACCCACCCAGAGGTATCTTGGAAGAAAGGCCTGGCAATCTGCTTCCTAAAGATCACAACCTTGAAAACCCTATGGGTTCTACTCTGCACACATGGGGTCCCCACGAGTTGGAATCGACTCAACGGCAACTGGTTTGGTTTTGGTTTTTGAAGTGCTTTTAGCATTTACTCCCCAGAGCACTATCCATCTGATTGATCTACAACATCCTATGTACAAGAAGGGCAGATATCATTATCCCCATTTGACTGGAAAAAAACCCAGAAAGGCTGTGTCTACCCATATTTCAACTTCTCCAGGGCAGGGACTGCATCCTGTTTATTTTTGTAGCCCTTAAGGTGCTTTGCACATAGGTGGTGTATGCACACCGTCAGTGCCTGGCCACATCTCCTTGCCCAGACCACTTTAGTGCACATCCATTGCACCTCCAACCTACTTCTCTTGGCCTCCAGAGCATGCTGTGCCACCTGTGCAGTGGAGCAGACGTTCTGGGGTCTTAACGTCCCCTGGCCACAGCTCTTAGCCAATGACTGATGGGAACTGGTCTCTAAATACTCCAGCTCCTTGTCTTTTGGGTGGGATGACTCTGACAGCATATTTTACTCTGGCTCCTGGTACCCACGGTGAAACTTACTTGACAATGAACCCTTTATCGGTTGCCTTCATTTTCCTGTCTCACTTACCCTCTCTCTTACTGGTGTTTCCTTGTATCAGTTTGAAAATAAACTACTTGCACTAGAATCCTTGTCTCAAGCTCTGCTTATGGGAAAACCCAATCTAAGACGGTAGGTGTCAAATTGACATTAATTGAATTAATGAATCAATGAGAGAAGCCTTTGTCAAAGGT